GCATTTTACAGAATAAGCAGGAGTGAGCAACCTTCCAGGAAAGACGGTTGCCAATTAGCAGCTGTGAAGAAAGACAAGGACCCTCATGTATCTTCAAAGTAACCCCCCACTGGCCTCAGTTATGAGTGAGTTCACAGTCAAGATGATGTGGGGGTGGGAAAGTACAATTTTGTTTCAATAAAACTCAGAGAGTTTTAGCGATGTCACTGTTGATTGCCACCATTCCTGATTTTATTAACAGAATAACAAACCTACTTTGATTTAGCAAAGATACTAACATTATTTGTATTCTTTTATCTCTCTGAAAGAAAAATAGTTGAATGTAAATTGTAATAGAAAAATTTTTTTGCCTGGCTGGTGTGGTTCAGTGGTTGAATATTGACCCATGAACCAGGAGGTCATAGTTCAATTCCCAGTTATGGCACATGCCAGGGTTATGGGCTGGATCCCCAGTAGGGGACATGCAGGAGGAAAATCAAATGAATGATTCTCTCTCATCATTGATGTTTCTGTCTCTCCCTCTCCCTTTCTCTCAAATCAATTTTATTTTTTAAATCAATTTTAAATATGTGTATTTATATACATATATGTACACACACACACACATATACCATATATATATAATATATATATACATATAATATATATATATTAAAAACTCAACTAGGAAAAGTGATAAATAAATAAAAGAAAATTAGCCCTGGCTGGTTTGGCTCGGTGGTTGCAGTGTTGGCCTGCAGACTGAAGGGTCATAGGTTCAATTCCCAGTCAAGGGCATTGATTGGAATCAATTTTATTTTTTAAATCAATTTTAAATATGTGTATTTATATACATATATGTACACACACACACACATACACATATACCATATATATAATATATATATACATATAATATATATATATTAAAAACTCAACTAGGAAAAGTGATAAATAAATAAGAGAAAATTAGCCCTGGCTGGTTTGGCTCGGTGGTTGCAGTGTTGGCCTGCAGACTGAAGGGTCATAGGTTCAATTCCCAGTCAAGGGCATTGATTGGTTTCAGGTTCTCCAGTTCTGATGGGGGAGTGTTGCAGGGGGTGGAGGAGAAGAGGGCAACTAATCGATGTGTCTCTATCGCATTGAAGTTTCTCTCTCTTTCTCTCCCCATCTTCTCTCCCTTTCACTTTTTCTAAAAATCAATGGAAAAAATATCCTCAGGTGAGGATTAAAAAATAATAATAAAATAAAGAAAATTAGTTGACACTAGAGATGAGAGAGCAAATTCATTAGCTATAAAGCATTACACACAAAAATAAATAATAATTATTAAAATAACCCACCTTGATAAACAGGAATGAATCATAACCAGAAACCCTTAAGATGCTCAGAAAATTGAACATAGAGAGAAGAATATATGTGCACCTCTATTAACGCGGTCCTAAATGATGTACCACCTACCACATTTCTCTGAATACAGCACAAGTATGCTCAGAGGCACGTGGTGCTGTGTCAGGGGATTCTCAACATCCCAAAATTAATTTGGCTCATCTTCCTGGAATCTTGTTTTTTCCTAAAGATTTGGAAGTGAGGAGTTATATTAAACATGTATCCATAGATTAAATACTTAAGTTTTATATTAATATTTAAAATTATATACAAGACTTCAAAGACATTTCTCTCTTGTGTTCACTCTCCTTTGCCGTTAGGGTTTCTTTGATGGAAAGGTACAAAGGCCGGTAGGACAGGTCATATAGTACAGTGACTGTGAGCATAGGCTGGAAGCCAATATTTGTTGGCTGTGTAACTGGATAAGTTACTTTTCTCTGATGTCAACTTCCTCAAAACAGAGATACTTACCTCATGCACTGTTGGGAGGAGGATGAGTGATATGTGTAGGCATGCATACACGTGCACATGCATATGTATATACACTTTATATTCATATATACATACACACAGTGTTATTGTAACATTAGTTAGATGTTTCAGAAACTATGCGCGTGTTTTCCACTATTATGAATATAATTACTCGATTGTGCTTAATGCAGTTTGAACCAGTCAAGTTAAATTATAATTGCAAACATTTTTAGTGAAGTTTTTATATTAACCCCAGCCCTTCTAAAAGTGAAGTACAGAAATAAAAAAATTCATTGTATTGAGTGTTCTGCTTAATGTAATCAGCTAAAATATGTATTCAGTGTGTAATAATAATTGCTAATAATGGTTAAATATTATTGAGAGTTTACTATGTGACAGGCAGTCTCATATGACTCATCATAATAGCTCTCTAAAGTAGGTAAATGTTATTATCCTTCATGTAATAAAAGAGGAAATGATTATTATAATTGGAGCCACAGGTTAGTTTCCTTTGCTATTCTATCAGCAGTATACTGTGAGAGTTAATCAATAACATATATTCCACACAGAAACCATCACTGTGTGAAGGCCATTGCTGTGGATCGCTTCTCTCTGCCTACATTTTGCTTTGCTGCAAACTAGTTCTCACAAAACAAAGGAAATATGCTTGATAATTTTCTTTCATGGATGCAAATGTTCAAAATACAAAATTACACCTCATTTTGAATTATTTTCATATGTGACTACCACTTGCAATTACCATCACTACTTCTCTTAGTAACAATGAGGTTTTAGCTGTTATGAGTCTTTACATACCTTAAAGCATGTAAATTGGAAAGATCCTATTGTTCCAGTGACTTATATACAGCACTGTTGACCTGGCTCCACCTAAAATAAACATCTTTACTTATTTTTGCACTCTCCCTTTTTCCTTGTCAATCAGTCAGTTTCATTTTAGGTCATAATGTATGTTTGTAACAACATTAGAATTATATTTCATCTTTTTCTTTTTCTTCTTTTTAATTCCTAATGTTTGACAATGGATTCATTACAATTGGCTTCTATTTTCACAGGAAATTAGCACAGATCATACTTACGTAGAGTTTCACTTTTAGAAGTCAATCCTTTAGAAGAAGCACTGATTAATACAAATGTTTCTCCTTTTTTTAACGTAATAGTTCTTAATATTTATTGTAACGTTTTCTTTTTCTGTTCCCTTATAAAAGTTGGACCAAAAAAAATTCTGTAGTCTAATACTGGCAATAATGGTTGAATTTTGTGATAATCCCAAAACCCCGGTTCACGTCAATGCTTGGCGAGGGAAGAAGGACCAAACTGCTGCCAGCCTTTTGATTAAATTGTGGAGAAAGGAAGAAAAAGAACTGGGAGTACTACGTGATAAACGCGGGATGATTATTGGTGAGTGTATTTGTAATCGTCAGTACAAGCAATTAGATTCATTTTCTAAAATATCTTATAAAGATTAGGAAAGTAATAGACACAGATAACAATATGGTAATTACCAGAGGGAAGAGGGGTCAGGGGAAGATAAAGAGAGTAAAGGGGGTCACATACATGGTGACAGAAGGAGACTAGTCTTTGGGTGGTGAACACACAAGGCGAGATGCAAATGGTGTATTATAGAATTGTCAACTTGAAGGTTATATAATGTTATTAGTCACTTATATAATGTTATTATTAACTTATGTAATGTTAGCCCAATAAATTTGATTTTAAAAAAGGAAAAAATAAGATATTAGGAATGTATAAAGATTTTCATCCCTTTGTTTAAAGTTCTTTTCATAGGTGTTTTGCACATCTTGCCATAATAAATTCTGAATGATTGGAAGAAAACTAAGTATAGTAGTAGTAGAATCATGTTTTTATAGAAAAATTTCAGGAAATGCTATTTTATCATCTACTTCAACTTGAAAAAAATTAACTACTTCCTAAAGAAGTTCCTTTGGGTTACCTGCTTTTACAAATAGGTTTGGTAATATTTCTTTACCAATAAAATGTGGGATGTAAATAGAGTGCATGAAAATAATTTTTATAGTCTTTTGTACATTGTTGTTGTTGTTTCATATTTATATAATTTACTTTTTTGTGAAGAAACTTACTTTTTTGAATAAAAGTAAATCAAAAGTTTTATAAATTTTAGTTACTAGATTCTAATTCAATGAAGTTTACAGTATTAGAATTTATAGTTCACTTATCTATTCTATAATGCTACATTACATTTTCTAAATCTCTGAATATTTTTCTATGGTTTTATCTAAACTTAGTATTATTTATTTTTAAATGAAAATACTTTCCCCTTTTTTTTTGTTAATCCTCACCCGAGGATATTTTTCCATTGATTTTTTTTCTTTTTTTTTTAGACAGAGAATGGAACAAGGTGGAGAGACAGAGAGAGAAAAGCATCAATGTGAGAGACATATCAATTACCAATGAACCCTGCAGCTGAGGTTCATGCCCTTTACTGGAAGTGAACCCAGGACCCTTCAGTCCATGGGCTGATGCTCTATCCACTGAGCCAAACCTGCTAGGGCTATCTTTAATTTCTGATGATTTCTATCTTCAATCTGATTTTATTATTTATGAGTTTTGATCTATAATGTCATAAAATAGTTATATATCATAATACATATATAGAAACCAAAAGCAAAGAAGATTACATCATTGTTTTTTGTTTTGTTTTGTTTTGTTTTGTTTTTGTTGTTGTTTTTTAAGCAATCAAGAATTCTCTTTTATTGACCAGGGCAGCAGATAGAGAAGGAGGCTCTCAGAGGAGGGAAAAAAGAAAAAGAAAAAAGATCTTTCAACCCGAGGGATCTAGAGCTACATTATTATTTCCCAATGAAGTGAGCATTAGTTTTCTGAAGAATACTTGATTTCTAAGAAAGCCAAACTTGTCGCTTGTGTTGTAGAAAACATACGAAGATGGATGAACTGTATTTGAATGAGGAAATTTGAAATTCAGGCTCAAATTCTGCTGTCCTTTTTATTTCAGAATTTGGCTGCAATGAACTATTGATTTGTCTTTTTCAACATGTTTCAGATTTGGAATTATTTTTTTTAATAAATCTTTATTGTTCAGATTATTACAGTTGTTCCTCTTTTTTCCCCCTATAGCTCCCCTCCACCCAGTTCCCACCCCACCCTCTGCCCTTACCTGCCCACCCCCCACTGTCCTCATCCATACGATTTTTGTCCAGTCTCTTCCCGCACCCTCCACACCCCATTCCCCCTGAGAATTGTCATTCCACTCTCTTTC